TGCTGATTAATTGCTGTTTTGAAGACGCACTGGTGGTGAGAACCTCTGGGGAGACACTGAAATTATGTTCATTTGCAGCAAGAAGAAAACTGAAAAGGTTAAACACCCATATGATGAGGTAAAATTGGTCTCTGTCTAGACACAGCTAATAACAACTCTGTCTGCAGAAGGTCACAAACATTATCAGTGACATAGCTTTACCCTTTGAGAAGGAATTGGTGTATCGATAGACTCCTTGGGGGTAAAATCCAGCCTGTGTTTTGCTCCCTGGCCCTCTCCAGCAGCAGCAAGCTGAGCACACGGGATCAGGGCTGATGGCAACAGCCGCTTGTGCAAGTCAGGGCGGGAGTGTGTGGGAAACAGTGAGAGAGCCAGGTTCTGCCTATGGATAAAACATCAAGCAAGAATGAATAAGTGCATAGTTTCCTGACAAGAGCAGAAAATGGGTTTAGGCAATTACAAGAGTAATAACATTTGCATCCTGGCAGGCTGCTTATCTTTCATCGACAGGTACTTCCTGGTACTAAACTGTAGCTTGTGCAAGACTTCGTATACGCTTTGAATCTCCCATCTGGCAACTGATTGTACATTAATGCACAAGCAGGAAACAATGCTTATTTAATCTTTCAGTGATTCAAAAATATTGACTTTGTGACAGTGTAACATCCCCCCATCTGCTATCTTTGTTTTGTGAATTGATCTCCAGAGGCCTGCTGGGAATACAGAAGAGATAAGGGGCTCCGAATATGGCCTGGGCTGCCGGCGCAGGAGGAGCAGCCCCTGCCGTCTGCCAGCACACACTGCAAAGGCAAAACAGAGACACTAAGACTGGAGAAATAATTTTCACTGAACAACAACTTGGTCCCTGAAATTCAGCATCCCACCTGAGTAAAGCAATTCTTCAGGTGCACAATTTGCATTGACTCTCAGAGGTGTGCGTGTAGATTGTAACAGCAAGGACAGGCTCTTGAAAGCAAAATAATAAATTAATTTAACATCTGGATACTCGGCTGCCTTTCCTGCCCTCTGCCAGTGAGCCCAGGCATACGCCTACGCATGTGGATGTCCAGTCCACCTCTAGCAAACTCCTCTGAGAAATGGACTGTGCCGTGTCTGAGCTGGTTAATAAGTTATGAATCTGAACAAGTATTAATGTGCTTTCAGGTGTCTCAGATTGCATCAGGCTATGATTACATTTATTTGATTATACCTGCTCTGTTGCTGTGCACAAAGCTGTAAGTAGAGCTCAGTGAATTCCGAATTTATCAGAACGGAGACAGATATTTCATCAGAACTCTGGAGTTTTTCCTCCTTGTTTACTAGCTCTGAATACACATCTGTTTGATTTTTGGTTGTGTTCAGTCTGAACTGCCTGAACTGTCTGTTCAGTTTGTGGTTCAGCACTGGAATGAATCTACTAAGAAAAAAATTATATGAGAACTAACATGACCTATACACTCCTGACAGAGACTGATATCTCGCCAATTTCAGCTTCCAAAAATTGAGATATCATGTTGAATTTAGGCAGGAGGGAAGGTATAAGAAACACACAGTGCCTCAAAGAAATGAGAGAAGCCACTGGTTATTTTGCCATAGTTTACATGCACTAGAATTGTTTCTTAATGTGCTACCTGTGGCCACCACTGTTGGGAAGTTCTCCAGCAGTGAGAAGTGCAGGTATGAACACGTCCGCTCGTCCTTGGTAGGGGAATCAGCACGGTGATTAATTTTCAATACAATTAAATTAGTAGGTTAAAAAAAAAGAAAAAAAAGAAAAAAAAAAAAAAACATGAAGTACCAGAACACTATACATCAAAGAAGACTAATTTTACAGGATAAACCTTTGGGCTTTTTTCCTCTCATTAAAATCAAGAAAGTTTCACATACACCAAAAAAGAAACCCACACGATAAGTAATATTGTCAAGGGAAAAGTATTCCCATTTTAAACCAAGCAATAGTCCAATTAAACTCCCAGTCCTAATAAAATGCTTTTACATCCAAAAATGCTGTCTCCCTGTGTGGTTTGTAGTTATCCAGCTGAAATCAGTTCTGCTCATGATTGTTCCCCAGAGCTGAGACCAACTGGCAGAGGGCGAACCATGCCCATGCTACTGAATTCCTTCCAAAGAGGGTGGTCACATCCAACCTGCCTGCTGGGGACAGTCCCCTGCCCTGCTCCATGTGGGTCTGACCCCACAGCAGCAACCCTCAGCTCATCCCTCTGGGCAGAGGGACGTTTCCATCCTGGTGGATCGCTCATCTCGATGGATCGCTCTGCCTGGCTACTCATCTCCGGCAT